ATAAATCTGATGCTCCAAAGCAGCTACAAGACCCAGGATGGGAACCATTCTGAATGATTATCATGATCGCCTGGAATAGTTTGGTTCAGAACAGTCTGCTTGCTTTGATTTGTGTTTTAAAAGAAGTTAAAGGTTATACTCCATTGTTTGACATTTAATTTTGTGTTTTTGAAGGCTACATTTGTTAAATAATGAACACACTGCTGTTTTATGGTCACGTGTGACTAACTCTTTTTGGTTTATTAAGTGTTAAGTGACTATTTTCTCAGACCAATCAGTAGTCAGCACCAGTTTTACCTCAATTCAACTTTGTTATGGAACCTTGGGCGAAAAATGGAATCAAACATACCCATACAGTGAAAAGCCACTAGCGCAATGTGTTTCAAATTTAATAGTAGCTTCCGGACCAAGCAACACACTTGTATTTCGATAGATTGTCAGTCAGGACATGATTTGAGTTGATTGACTTTTCAATCCAATTCAACCTGTTTTATTTTATTCGTTGTAAAACCAAAAAAAAGTTGGAGATCCTATCACAAACGTGTGAGGGCTAATCTGATGAGCAGCCAGAGAGAGTTATGCTGCATCGGTAGCTAAAAATGAAACTCTTTAATGTATGACATTTTAAAATGATAAGCAAGTTTTTGGACTCCCACTTTCCCTTCGGACGTTTAAAAAGTGATGATATCAGCAATTCCTCAGTTCACCACTTGATTCTGGTGTCAGAGGGCAGCAAATTTCCATTGGCAGAACATTTTAAGTGCTGTGAGTTTATTTGTTCGCAAAATTGTTTTGCGTCTCTACAAAGAAATCTATTTTCAGAAGAGTCTGGGATTTGATGTGTGGAAATATTCTACACGGTGTGTGGAGAACGTGACCCTCTGGTTGATGGTAACCTGTACACTGTGTGGTACATCATCTACTGAAACTACTCAAGACTAAGGATGCTTTCCCACCAAAGTGTTTGGTTACAGTGCTCTGCATGCTTTTGGGGGCTTTTAGCATGTTATGCACCCTTTGGCTCTACTTTACAGTACCCATTTCACGCGCACATATTTGTCTGGCGCACTGCCCGCTATACCACAGGGCTAGACACAAATTATTATATTTTATGGTGAAGTGTCTTATCAAGATTTTAAGTATTCTAGCTTAAATTTGCAAAAAAGAATAGGATGTAGTGCACTTTGCTAAGAAATAACATGTATTTATGAAGCAATTTAAAGCAAAAGTTATCAAAAAAAAGCAAAAAATCCCACACTCTAAATCAGGGGTGTCAAACTCATTTTCACCGAGGGCCACATTAGCTTAATGGCTGTCCTCAAAGGGCCAGATGTAACGTATAAATGTAAAACTCATATAAATGAAATCGAATGTAATGTAAAATAAATGTAACTACTCCTTAATGTTAAATACTCATTACTTATAACTTATTCAAGTGACAATTCAGCTGCATAGAAACAATTGTATCACAGAGAGAAAAACAAATCCTGTCCCATCCCAATCCTGGGCCAGAGTAAAAAAATTAATCCTGTCCTGTCCCACTTCTGTAGAATTGACTCCTGGTCACCATCCCACTCCCACTCAAAATTACTCCCACTCCCATCCAATTTTTAGCCATTTTTCTTTTCAGAGGAAATAAAACTTTCAAAATCTGCAAATATTTGCTATTTCCATGCTAGAAATGCTCAGAACAGTCTTTAATAACAAAAAAGTAAAAAAAGGACTTGAATTTTCATCAAGTTTCTCTTTATAAACAACTAAAAATGTACAGCAACAAGATTTTTGAGATTCCGGAAATTAACCTCAACCTAATGTGCATCAACACAAAACGTCTGAATACGGCTTTCAGTGTCGATTTTTTTTTTTTAAAAAAGGTCCTGGTGTTTTTTTTTTCGGCTGTGGAATATAGTAGAGTAGTACTGTCCAGCTGAAGACCTTAGCAAAAGATAAAAATAAATGAATAAAGCCATATGTTGTTGGAATCAAGAGCCATTTTAAGGCAATATTATATAATGTCAAAAATTACACTATACGTATATTGAAAAACATTATTGTTCGCAATAAACCATGTGTATAAAAACCTTTATTACATATGACTGTGATTGAGATGGTGACACGCCCCCTCCTGTTGCTGTTTGTGTTTCACAACTCACAGGGGCTCTCGATGATGGTATAAACATCATCTTTCACTATTTACAAGTGTTTTGGTACTGAAATCTTAACAGTTTAGTGTGCCAAAAACGGTGGAAGAATGTGAGGAAATAAGGAAAAAAGACGCACTTGCGTGAATGTGGAAGAAGAATCACGACCAAACGCGGTAAAAAAAAACAGTTCAATCTAACGCGAATAAACCCTTTACTACTACTAAGACGATGCTTATGCTATTATATACAGTATAAATATTATATTTACAATGATTTCTCCGCTAACACATCGCTAAAGTTTTGGCTAAGTCCAAAGGCATTGTGGGGAATGAATTTTTTTCCGTTTCCATTTTCGTTTTTTTTTTTAAGACACTCAAAACTTTTAAGCTCTTGCGGGCCACATTAGATTACATGGCGGGCCTTGAGTTTGACATGTGCTCTAAATAAACAAATAGGTGAAACCAATCATGCGATTTCGCTTCAAACCAATCCCATGTCCAGAATAGAACAGAAGGCCATTACATATCTAAAACAAGCCCACTCAGAGCGAATATTAGAAATTGGTGAGAACACCAAGGAGAACCATGGCGGGTAGAGCTAAGTCTAATCAAGCCAAGTTGTGCTGATTCTAAAATCTGGTGAATAAGTTTCATAAGTATGTAAAAAAATATATTATTTAATTATGACCAATCACATAATCCTGATGCTACTTTCCCATTTTTGTTCTTCATCTTTGTGTATTTAGTCTTTTGAAAAAGGGTTTACTGAACACTGCAGTGGTGACTTTTATAAATAAAGATACAGTGGCAAATGTAATGAGTGAGTATAAATTGGCAGGCGCTTGAAGAAGAGCTGCTGTGACTAAGCCTGGTTAGAGGGATTAAAACATCATTGAGCTCACTTTCAGTAACAAGGAGTCGCAGCCTAGCGCCATGTTAGCAACACTTTCTCCTGAGCCTAGAAAATATTAGCTTACTCACCTCAGGAATGATTGAGTAGATGCATGTATGTCTCTAAACTCCCATCTAATTCTAAAAAAAGGGGCAAATAAACGGATGAAACTCCGCCCAGACCAAAAGCTGAAAGCCATTGAGCGTATCGAATGTATATTTTTAGAGATATTGACCCTGGGTGTAGAGCTGAAGGTCTTGCTGGCATTTGACTCACTAGAAAATAGGCTGCGCAACTTAAACTGCATTTCTAGTTTAGAGGGGAAAAAAAACTTGGTATTTTTCCTCAGTTCATTTAATCCCTCAGCTTTTCTTGTAAAATGATCTGCCCAGTGCCACTTCAAAAGCGTCCCCTTGTGCTTCCATTTCAGATGTTGTCAATGACCTTGGTGTTGAGCATATGGAGTGAAAAAGCTTTTTTCCTGGCTGCTTGTCGCATCTGGGATTTACTATAAGCTAGGCTGCGGTGAAGGTTAAAAATTGACTGTTGAAAAGAGAGTAGGTTATTTTTTCAAGGCACTTCTTGTAATCCACACAGGTGACTGGATTTGTCTCAGGTCAGAGGTGCGTTCATTCCTTGCATATATATGAGTTGCTGTGTTGTTTTTAAGAAAAGCAAGTTAAATGTAATCAATCAATCCCATAATGCTGTGTACTGCTACAGTTAGTCGATAAACATATGTCGCTTTCTAGTTATAACTTTAATCATAAATAGATGTAGGGGTAGGGTTTTTTTTTCCTTGGAGGCATACAAGAAAAATCACCCAGTAGCTCTGTGGCAGAGTTCATGAGCAGGTGCTACTGCGCTTGTCATTTTCATACTAAACTCTCCTTTGGTAGATAAGATAAGAAGCATCTGACAAGTTCAGGCCAGCGTCACAGCTATCTTCTCCTTCACCAGGACACACATAAACAAGATGTTCCCATTTTATGAGACCAAGAATTGTATTCAGGGGCGATACTTCCATTAGTAGCCCATCCAAAGCTGTGTCTCTCATTTCCTCAAGCCTTAACTTTCCCCAAAGCTTTGTGTAAAGATCTTCTCGTTGTGCATTAGCTACATTCACACTTTCCTGAGAGTGTGGGGGTAGTTTTTTTTCCAAAGACTATATTATGTTTACCTTCAGTTTCTCAGATGATTTAATCTTCACCACTGCATCTGTGTGTTATTGACCAATCCGGTGTGTGAAATCACAAGAATAAAACCGTGTTTCTTGCAAGTCGTAAACATACTTTTAGTACATTGAAGAGAATAATAATAAATCTTGTGTTTGCAACCTGTTAGGACAAGTTTAGGGTGTGTTTATGCTGTAAAACCAACAGATACGTGAGCACTTTAAATGAGCAAACACTGAAACTTTCTGATACAAGAAACAGGGAACAAGGAAACTTTGCGCATCACACCCGGATGAGTTTATTTTAATTTCCTTAATTGTGCAAATAAGGCAAATTATTATATCCAAGAGTTTTCTGTGCTTTTATTGGTTAACAGATATAACAGAAATAACATGAAAGCTGCAAGCAGCGATCAAAGGACTCTCTTATCTTAGTCACTGTTGTCCATTTTATGGCCAATCTTTATTTTGAATTTGACTTCAACAATGCAGAATTTGATGGTGATTACATGAGATCTCTAGGAGTTTGTTATAGTACACCGCCCGGAATTATACCAAAGTTTAAACGAGATTGAAGAATAATCGACTTCCTGTCTGTTTTAGACTTTTTGTTTTTCTTAGTGGGTACAGTATAAAATGTCAGAAAATGGGATGTTCCATGTGGCATCTAGGTTCTGTTTTAACAGAAACTCTAAGTTGCAATATTGAAGTGCTCAGACATGGATTAAACACAAACATGGCAAGTTTTGAATGGCTGAGATAACTTCCTGTTATAAGGAAGTTTAAGGGAGGCAGTTGTGGCGTAGTGGATAAAGTGATTGACTGGAGATCAGAGGGTTGCTGTTTCGATCCCCAGCTCCACTGGGAGTCGTACCTGGTGTGAGTGTGGAAAGCTTTCTCTCTCCTACCTTTGGTGGCCTTGAGCTAGCTACCATGTTCCCCCACTGCTCCCCGGGCAGTGTGTTTGCGGTGTGTTTGTTCACTGCTGTGTGTGCATTTGGACGGGTGCAATGCAGAGCACGCATTCCTAGTATGGGTCTTAATGTCACTCACTTCACATTCACTTTTCACTTGCAAAATTTTGATGGCTGCTGTGAGGACATTGCTGGAGGTGATGAGATCAAATGTTTTCACTGGTATGACAAGTGTTCCCGGTTTTAAGTTTTTCACTAAACAAATGGGTTCCCTAAATAAAAACATGGTCCAAATGACTTTTTTTTCCAAATGAGATTTGAAGTCTTAGCACGCTACGTGGGTACCGGATTGCATAAAAAAAAATTGAGCAATTTAGCCAATTTTGTGACGTCAAATTTTCACCAGTTTGAAGATGTATGTGATATTCTGTGACTTTCTGAGCACGTTTAGGCTGTTAATCTGAGAGGAAATGATAGGGCTCAAAACATCTACTGTGCTCCATTCTTAACAAGCAAAACTATAAACTTGACCACTTGGATTGATTTTAAAATTAAAAAAATCTAAATTGCTGCTTTTTTATGTTCTTCATGAGACATTGTTTAATTTTTTTTTGCCACTTTTATTTGGGTTTCATTAATAAGATTTTGAAAGCTAAAGTACTTTGCTAATTAGTGTGAACTTTATTCACAGTTCAGATAATCTTTTGTCTTTTTAACTACTCTTCCCATTTGGCCCGACCACAGCCTAAAAAGATGACCAATGAAGACCGTTAATCGGCTGCTTACTACACTCCAAAGTTTTTGTGTGTATCCATTTTCAGAAAATACTTGCATTCGATTTACATTGATCTTGCACAATGATTTTATTCAGAAACAGTCCAATGATCTCTTTTCCATTTGGCCACAATTTCTCTTATTTGAAACGTTTCAGCCAATGAGAACTGAAAGATGTTTGCTTGTCAAGGTCACCGCATCTCTCAGCTTGTTTGAATGAACATTGTGTTAGAGCACCATCCTTTAGCTCTCACTCCTCCGTTTATCTCTGTGTTCTCCTAAGAAGCAAGAAGAAAGGGGTTGGAATTGGTGCTTCACTTTTGATTAGGGCCCAATCAGTTATGCAAACATAGAGGCTGTCAGGAACATGGCCATTTTTCATTCTGTGCTTGTGCAACCCGCTGGCCGCCCTGTCATAGAGATAACACAAGCAGGCTTGCAGGATATTGGCGCGCAAACAAACAAATAAAGATACCAGTTTGGCTAAGCAGAGATTCTCTTTGTGAGGCAGCCGAGGGAGATGTAGATGTAGAGGAAATTGGGAGACGACAGAAAGGAGGAGTGAGTGTCACTATAGCCCAGGGAAAGTATTATATGAACCCTTCCTTGCTGAGTTTGGCAGCACCAACAGATTGTAGCAGAGAGGTCCAACATTTTCCCCTCTCACGGACCTACTGTGACAAAGGAGAAAGAGAGCGCCTGATGAATAGGCAACAGTGAAGTCTCCTGCAGCTGCGCTTTCCCATTCAGCTCTTCACCCAAATTAGCACTAATTGAAAAACCTGCTTATTAACTCAGTAGGCATGTGGCAAACACATTCAGAATGTTTCAAGCTCAAAACGGGCACCGCTGAGCTGGACGTACACTCACTATGCACACACACACACACACACACACACACACACACACACTAACGTAGCTCTTAAACCTATCCTGTGGCTTGATTTAGGGGTGATTCTTGACTGATGTGGGCTACGGTTGCCAGATGTTGCAGTGGTAGAGGTCATTTTGGAGGTGGTTGTATAGCAATAGATTGGACAGACTGCCTGCAGTAATCACGCTGATGACTCATCTGCAGTTCCCCGCGCTCAGGCTGATTCTCGGTCACAGCCCATTCTGCTCTGCAGAGGCAGTTTAACCAGTACAAGTTTAATTACTGTATCTGATCCACAATGAAGATGTGGATAATGTTAACAAAGTGGTACACTGCTTTGGAGCAGAGTGTTGATGTGATATGCCTCTTTTGACTCCCATACTTGGCCTACATATTCAATAAGTCCCGTCTTAAAGAACACAACCTGACAAGTTTGTGCCTTGGAAGCTGCACCTTCCAGATTAATCCCTATGCCCTTCTACAAAAGATATAGTATTTGTCTGGCCTGTAATTGCCCTCATCAAGGAGGCGGCTGACTGTAAGTGGGCTGTCAAGTAGCTTGTAGAAGAGACCTGTCCCTGAGCTGCAGTCTCATTATATGTGCTCATGCTGATGGCAGTGATTGGACCTGAATCCAGGGGGCCTGGTAGCCACAGGGGAGATAGGCCGGTTTTCTTAAGCCATATGTGGTCTCGCTGATGTCTCAGCAGGTTCTGGCATTAGCAGGCAGACCAGATCTGGATCTTTGAAATCCCCAAAGTCATGATCTTCAGCAGAGTGACAAAGTTCACAGCTCATTCATCACTCACCCTTTTGATCATCCTTTCTCATCTGGAGTTGAACTTTACATGAATTAAGACCTTGTTTGCCAAGCACATGACATTACACATTTCAGTTTTTAACTAATCTGCTGCTTTCCTCGCAGGACGTAAATCAATGCAACATTCTGATGCAGTGCCGTACGCATGCCCTCTTGCATACTCAAGCAGTGTTTCTAAGAGTGGCTGTGGGTTGTTTAATTATATTTATCACAACAAAAAAACAAAATGATTTGATCTTGATGCAGTTTGTATTCACACTGGTGGTTTTGGTTGTTAAAATAAAAAAGTATTTTTATGCCTTTAGGTTAACTTATTTCATGATGGAACTCCCATTTAAAAGATTACTGGGTTTACTGGCCTCTATACGCCGATCCGAATTGAGATTCACACGAATCTTCCGATGGCTTACTCTTCATCTGGGTTGATGAAATCATGATGTAATGCCGCTCCTTGCCTGAAGATGGCGTTTGCAGTCACACTGGAAACAGGAAAGAAGAAGAAATCAATAAACACTAAGAACAATTGTGAATATCAAGCAGTTTAAACAGTTGGGGGCTGATCACCGGGAGCTATTTGACATGAATGTGAATAAAGGAGAAGATTTGTGTCCTGCTATTTCTTTCCCGTTTCCTGTTTGAAGTCGCTATGAAAATTGGGGTTGAGCACAACCGAGTGACTCATTTACATCCTACTCACATCATCAAAAGAATCTGATGTCATTGGTTGTTTTCTTTGAGAAAAATGTATCAGATATGGCAGTGTAAAACTCTTCTTTTTTCGCCCAAACTTCCGACCGAAAATTCACATTGGTGTGTAAAGGCCTTTAGAGCTTAGTGTGCATGTTCATATGGTTGTCTTGACCACCTGGGACCTGGAAAGATACGATCTGTTTTGCTGTTGAAGTAGACTAACACTCTGTTTATTGTTCTCGTTATGCTTATTGATGTGCAACAGGGTTCATTTTAATCAAACCAAACATGAAGAGGGTGAACACCCTTTAAGTCTTTTAATGAACGTATGTTACGTAGCTCTCACAGAATACCAGCTTGAAAAAAATACCTCTTGTGAGTGTTTGTAGGTTTTATTGCATCTTATAATTGTCTTCTCTGAACCCCCCCCCCCCTCCCTCTAGTGCTGTTTCTTCCCTTGTGCATAGTTACAAACTTGATCATGCAAACCCCTCCCTGCTCCAGTTCCCTGCTCAGAGCACTTTCGTTTGTGCTGACTGAGCACAAGATGCAAAGCCTTTGCCAAAAGACATCTTTGGAAAATTGCCATTGGTAACCATGCTGGTTGTGGCCTAGGTGCCCCTTTCCAGTCAGAACAACCTTTGCTTCAAAACTCAGTTCAAAGACTGGGACTGTTTTGTCTCATAGAGCCTTTTAATAACCTTTGACACATTGGGGATCAATTCAAAGAAGTTTTCTGTCAGCTCATCTTTAAAAACTTTTTGTTGTCTTCTTCTCATCCTCATAATATTTGAGATATATTTACTCGAAACAGCTAAAAATTTAGTGATTAAGAAATTATTTTTTTCACTACAGCCTAAAATACGTCTATAGTGCCTCAATCTTCAACTGGGATTATAGTGACCAATCCGGACTGTGCTATACTATGTTTGAGGTCTCTGAAATAACTTTGTGGTTGCTGGATACTTGAATTTACGTTAACATAAAAAGATCATTGGGTGTACACCTTGGTATATATTGCTATGGTCCTAGGATTTAACAGATTTTGTGACTTGTACCCTGCCGTGTGACTGTTTTGTGATGCTATTCTGAAAACCCTTCTGGCCTATTTATTCAAGCTTGGGATGATGGATGTACTAGATAAATCCGGTCATGCCTTCTGACTTCAGAAATTGCTCTATAAGATCCTCTATTAGTCAGACACAGCCTCACACCTTGTATGTGATGGTTCCTGTTGGTGTTTTATTTTTCCAGTGTTGTCTCCTTTAATCTACATCTTTGGTGTATTGAAGCTACTACTGACCATCAATGGATCACTGTTCACTCGCTTGCATTTAAATATCTGTGTTTTTAAAATGCATTACCAACTCTGAAGTTACATTTGATTGTAAATCAAATACAAATTGTCTGTAAAGCATTACAGATGCTTTCTTTTGTTAATGCACTTTGCCGAATCGATCTGTGGTAAGAAAATATCAACCACTTTGATTGAATGAGGGTTTGGCAAGGAAGGTGATCTCCAACCTTCCCTGGGTGTTTCACCCTCAAGTTTGGTAACCCAGATCTGGTCACCCCCTCTCTCTATCAGCTTGCTTCCTGTTTCTCATGCCAAAGCCAAAACGAGGCTTGTTTTTCTATGCCTCTCCCAGTCTACAAACAGTTACGTTCCTCAAGTGGCCTCTCAGTTCCACTTCAGTGAGAAGATCCCAAACAGTTGTGCTGGAAATCCTCTACATCCAACTTCTACCATCCTCAGCAAAAATATAGCCTTTCCCGTCTTTTTCTTGTG